ATTTATTAAGAGACATTTACATCAAAGGAGTTATTCAGAAAAATTATGAGGATTTAATTAGAAAAAAATTAAAGCACAAATAATTTCTAATTGATGCCCAACAATTCCTACATTTTATGTTTTTTTTATGACAAAGTAGGTCATAAATGTCATWAACCAGGTTCAACTCAAACCTGTATATTATAATGAATAAAGTCTAGATGTTTTCTCAGTCACCTTTACAGAACCAGGACTTCCAAAAAAAAAAAAAAGACATTAAGATTTAAAAATATTTACATCTTTCACTTTTTACTGGGTTAGCAATTACTGATAAAAATATATACGCCTTTTGTTAGAAATATAGCTTTCTTTTTTTAAATGATAACATTTCCCCAAACATAAATAAAAATAAAAACTTTAGAGAATGAAATAAGTTTGATTGAGGTAACCACACCAYGYGCTCATACAAACACAAAAAACCCACCTGTTTGTCCCGAAAAAATTATTCAGTTAAAAGAAAATGTTTATTGTGTAGCTAATTAATTAATATCAAACTTTTTTAGAAACACACTTTTCATCACAACAAACACTCACTCTGTTTGATATAAAACACTCGTTTTTTTTTTCTAAAAACCTCTGAAAACAATTTACACTCCTTAATACACACTCAAACATTTTGATTTTCATGTTTAACAGTTTCATTGATTTTGAAGCACAAAGTGAGTCTTMATCTCTGAAACTGTGTCTCATGATTAGATCTGATGTGCAAAGGTTGRAATAGGTTCTTATGGTGGAGTTGACATGCTGGATTCTCTCTAGCCCTTTTTACAGGAGGCTGCTGAGGTCAAAGCTGATACACCTGTGAGCCAGCAGGTGTCAGGAAGCAAGAAAACATCTGTGTAAATATAAAGAATAGAAGTTCTAGATCCACAAGATCAATGAAAAAAGGTGGGTGTAAAAATAGATCCACCAGCTGGGCTAAAACAGACAGCTCAGATGTTTACACAGAGGGATTAGGGGAGATATATTTATCTATTTTTAAATGCATTAGCGAACATCAGAGACTAACAAAAATGTTTTATCGTTCTTGTGCAGCAACTTTAGCGAAAGAACCTTGCTGCTGTATGGTGCCTTTCATCCCTGTGTGTATATATGTCTGCAAACAATATTTGAAGTAATGTCAAAACTGCAWTGACATCAACTTTAAAATGTTTGATCTTGGTTTAATTTTCCAATGATGAAGCATTGCTAATTATCTTTACTATGGTTTAACATTAAATTAACATCTATGCTTATTGTTGTTGAGCAGCCTGTGATTATAGGGTTGTTTTTTGCAACATGTTAAGGAATTTTTTTTTATTTCTATTTATGTAAATTGAGCCAGTCATTTAAGTTTCAAGATAAATACATAAAAAATGTTTACATTATCAGTGCAATCCTCAGAACTATATACCAATCTTGAGGTGCCTAAAGATACCCACTGCTATTTACAAGTTAGGTTTTGTGGAAAAGTTATGAACAGTTAATATTTTCCTGTTGTAGATAGGTTTTTCAACATCTTCAGTTTAATAATTTAATTCTGACAGGATTGACCAGATTAGTTTTTCTGTCTTAAAACAGCTTCAATCAATGTCAGCAGTTCATAAACATAACTCTATAAACCTTTACATAACTGTCCAACCGGAATCGAGCTGGAAATTATATTCCAGTCAACATTTCCCCAAGCTGCACAAGAAGTTTTACAGCTAGCTGCTGCTGCTGTATGTGGCTGTAAATGACTTCCTTATAAAWGAACACAAGATAAATTGCTGATACTGTAAAGGTTTATAAAATATAGTTTGAATTGTCATGAAATGTTTAAGAATGAAGATGTTTGAAGATGGCAGCAATTCACAGATGTCAGCTGTGTTCTGACTCAAACTTACATTGTTTAAAAGGGCGATCTACAACAGGTAAGATATTTATCTATCTTCTGCCTGTTAAAGATCAGACCACAAAGCTCTCCCTCCCCAGCTAAGCTCTTCTGGAAGGGCTCTTAGATGTTTCCAGTCCAGCTGTGMAGTATAATATCTCTAGTGAGTCCTGGATATGCTCTAAGATCTCCTGCCCATGGGACCYGTCTAAAATCCTTCCATAACAATCCTATAAAACAAAAATAACAGAGCTATATTTTAATGGTTTTATTGTCCACCTCTAATCCCTCACTTTTTAAATAAAAACAAACATCCATCACCGCCAACTGTGTCAGCGCTGTGTTGTTGTTTGTGTGCAATGTGTGCTGTGGTGTTAGGGGTTAACAGGAGTTCTGCACTGTAGCTTAACTTTAGAATATAAAATGTAAATGCAGAACAAAATGTCTCACAGCCACGTGAGAACAGATGTTTTCCATCTCACTGAGTAAACAGTGCTTATAAATAGTACTCACCCCCTTGTTTTGTGCTTTTACTGCTGTCATAAATCAATTGTGGTCAATGTAATGTGAAATAGGTGATTGAATAGACCACTTCAAAGACACTGTCCTAATTCAAATGAAAGAAAACATTAAAAATTATTTTTTTTTTTTTCATTTTCAGTCAGGAGTTACAAGGCCCTAAACATCTCCAGGAGTTCTGTTTATTCATCAAGAAATGCAAATATTATGGAGAATGTGTAAATTTAAAAAGAGCAGGCCATCCTCACAAACTGAGTGACTGCAAGACATCAAGACCAAGACATCTGTGACCACTCTGGAGGAGTTACAAGCTTTAGCAGGCGAGATGAGAACCTGTACTACAATAGCTTTTGACTTTGTTCTTACTAAGCTTTATTGTAGAGAGGCAAAGAAAAAGCTACTATTGAATAAATTCAACATTCAATAAATCTCAACAAGAGTTTCTAAATGAATTAGACAAACTCTATGAGAAAGGTGATTTCACTGTGACATTAAAATGATAGATAGATAGATAGATAGATAGATAGATAGATAGATAGATAGATAGATAGATAGATAGATAGATAGATAGATAGATAGATAGATAGATAGATAGATAACGCAAATATTAATAATTTTATTGACCATGATTGATTTATGACAGCAATAACATTATAAAACATCAGAGAGGGTGAATACTTTTATGTAGACACTGTAAATCAGCCTTTGGAAGTGCTGATCTTTGTCCTAGTTGCTTCCTATTTGGTTTCAGACTGCTTCAGTGCCTCGTGGAAGTTCTAGCTGGATTTATACTGAGAACGTCCTCCACAAAAAGCTGTAATTTAATCTAAAGCCCCCAGCCCCCCACAGCAGACTGTCCACTTGTTGGCTGTGCCTTGAAATTCTGTCCAGAAAAAATACAAACAGAACTAGTGCCAAAAGACAACCCCAGAATGAGACATATTTCTTCCTAAACTTTTATACAAAACCTCTTTTTAAAATATCCTAACTCTCTTTAAGAGTTCCCTAACTGGTTAGTAATCACCAGATCTTAATGAAACACCAAAGCTTTATCAAATACTCCACAGATTCTGAACTGAGTCTGCTACAGCTCAGCACCTTATTTAGAATCACAATGTTGGCTTTATTTTGACCTTTCTCTGCTTGTATATTTTTCTGCTTTTATACAAACATGTTCTAATAATCATGAAAGGAAAAAAACATAAAAATAAACTGAACCTGGTTGGCTGGTGTTAAAAAAAATCTAAGTAAAATAGGAACCAACATAGGACCAAAAGGCACAAACTCCAGACTTCATGTGTGGACCTACAGAACATCTACAATGTTTGTTTATCTTTCCTGAAACAGTGTGCTGGTTCAGATGATCTTGGCAAAAAAAAAAAAAAAAAAAGGCCATGTTGGATCTTGGCTGTTGTGTTCTTATGTAGCCTCAGGAACCTGAAATCTTTTGAAAACAGTTGCATTTTCCCAAGTTTTGTTCTGTTTATTTCTCCCCTCAGACCAACCATTGAAGGAGCATCTGGTCAAGCTTCATTATCAGGTCAGAAATTGGTTCAGATTCACCAAACAAACATATTGTTCAATGTATAGAAGGTCAGAGCCACTTAGAACCAGACTTATTATTGGAACAGAAAGACCTAAAGATTTTAGAAGCTGCACAGGTCAAACTTTCATCAAATGGTACTAGTTATTATCAAAGGCAGTGCAGAGATTTTGATAGGATCCATACAACCTGAACACTATCGGGTTGTGTTCCCTTCAAACCGCACTTTAATAAACGTATACATAAGTGTAATAGCCTTACCATTAGAAAAGTATTTATGATAAACAGGCTTTGCATTCCTAGAAGGAATGCCTCTCACCCACAGCTTTTTTTTTAATCAGAGTTTTAGATTAAAATCAGCTTATGATGAAACATGAAGGTATACGCTGGGAATGACTCTCAGCTACTACCACACCCAWTTTTRGCTTAATATCTRTAAATTTGACTGAGTTAGTTATTTTAGATTTTTTTTCCTGCTTTCCTTGACTCCAAAAGCTTAGAATGTGTAGGATGTACATTCAAACATTTCTTTTTGAGAGTGTCCAAAGTAGGGTTGGGCAATATTGGCAAAAAAATTAATCATGATTAATTGTGGTATTTGGCCGATAACGATTAATTTGACGATTAATCCCCTGGAGTCCCTGGACACCCTTATGTCCTAGTCACATGACTAATTTAGTGGGAAGGATTTGCTCATCATAAAAATCTGTTCCAAACTGTGTCAAAATTACAGACTTCAGGTTATACATCAAATTTTAAATTGTGTTGATAGATAAATAAATTACAGAACTTTATTTTAATGTTCATCATATTTGAAGCAGAGAGGAGCACAGAGCTGACTGACTGGAGATTTCTCCAGTCAGTCTGCCTGCTGGCATTAATCATATTGATTGTCAAGTGCCAAAAAATAATCAACTGTTTTTCTGGTGATTAATTGCACACGATATGATTTTGCCCAACCCTAGTCCAAAGGTTCATGAAATATTTAGCAAAAAGAAACACACAGGCATGGGCAAAAACAACTCCTCACTTTTTAGAGGTGAGTGATAACCAAATTAGTTCAAATCTGTTTATCTCAATTTCCAAAGTGAACTTCAGAAGAATAATCAATTATTCTTCTGAAGTTAGAAGAATAGATCAATCTAAGCTGGAGCAGGTGGCTGCCAGGTAAGGGGTACAGTGACCTTTTCATACACAAAAAATCTGAATATGAGTGATCAAAGCTGCAAATGTACCATCTGATGACAGTATGCACTGACTTTTCTTGCCTTGCATTATTTCCTATGATTGCTTTTGAATTTTCAATTCCAAAACCACTTTTTCTTGGAATTCCACGGTATATAAAAGAAGATACTTAAATCTGCAGTTTAAAGATAAGGTCCTGAGTTCCAGAGTGCACTTAAATAAACTATAATACTGTATCTGTGAACACAGAACAGACATGACATCAGCTCTGCTGTCTGTATGTTCTGTGGTTTCAAGCCCTTCCACAAACATTTGCAACATGTTTAAGGCCATTTAATCAGTCTGTGGACTAAAACTGACACAAGGCTGTGATGTGACGAGTTGAATAAAATCTCACTACACAGTTAGTTCCAAATTCTAATCTTTGTTCTCCAAAGGAGGGAATTTACAGAAGAACCCCACCCTTCTGTAAAAGAGAAGCAGATCAGAGACAGAAGACAGTGCAAGTTACCAAACTGTGTGTGCATGTGTGCTGTCCTTCAGAGTGGGGTGTGCAGCTGTGTGTATTGCTGTGACGGCGTGGAGGCAGCGGATGAGGTGGTGTTGGAAGTGCTGCTGTTTGCCAGATGGAAGGAAGAAGAGTCAGACAGCTGAAGCTGCTCCAGTTTCCTTAAGTATTCATCTCTGAGGGCTAACAGYTCCTTGTAGCGCTGCTCCACTGGACTCTGCTGCTGGAGACACAAGCACAAACGCATGTTAATGAGAAAATTGACAGAGGGGGGAAAAGTTGCTTGAACCAAAATCTGAATGGGCTGACACTGTAGGAAACTAGTTATTGCTTGCCACCAAAGCWGACAGCAATAGTGTTTGCTTGTCTGTTAGCAAAATACAACTGGAGCCAAAACCATTTTTCTCACTGACTAACATTAAATCAGACCAAATCTTTCCTGTTTTAAGCCAGTTTACCTAAACACTATATTACGGTAAATGCTAAAAATATATATTTTTAATGACTTTCTTTAAAGTCACAAGTTTAAATACACTGAAATTGCTGTGCTTTTAAACAATTTTTGGAAAAAAACAGATGATGATGTTCTAGCTTTGGAAGGTTTTGACTTGTTAGTTGACAACATTTGAGTTAATTGAAATCATATCCGTGGATGCATTTTAAAGGAGACATATCATGCTAAATGCACTTTTTTTTGCATTTATAAACTATTTTTTGTGCAATTATAGTGTCAAGGAGTGTAGAAAACTTTAATTTATTCTGTACAGTTACTGCAAAGATATTTTTATATTTTTTTATGGGTCAAAATTTTCAGTTTGTTCAAAATCTGCTGTTGCTTATTTCATTTCATTGTTTATTTCGTCACACTTTTTTCTTCGGAACTACCATTTATGGTAATGTATTTCCGGCAAACTGGATTTCATAGTCCGCCATTTTTTCCTCGCTGTGTGATTTTGTAGTTCATAGCGTCATGCCGAATATGCAAGTTCAGAAGTCAAAATGTTAGGTTCTGGGGTGTGTAAACTCACCTTATTATCTACATAGACTACCAGCGTCAGAGCTTCTTCAAAGTGCCTGGTTAAGTTTTATTTTTCAAGGAAATGTACCCACAACAGGGTGGAAAGTGCTTGCGTACAACACAGGATGGATGTTACAACAACAAGGGTGAGTTATGAACTGTAAATGTGTTTTAACTGTCTAATTTAACTGTTTCTACCCTCTGTGTCGGAATATG